GTCCCTCTGATAGGAAGGGAAAAGTAAAGTGGAGGAGGGGGGCAGGGCGGGAGGGCTGGGCTGGGTCTCGGGACACTGTCTGCTTACCCTACCCGACGGGTGCCCCCTGCGTCGAGCCTTCGGTTTGGGTTTTCCTTCTCTCTTTTTCTTTACTTTTCCACTTAATAACAATGTTTTGCGTGTTTGCTTCACAGTGATGGGTGCACCAGCCAGCCCTACTGACCAAAGTGGTGTCAAACCGAACTTAGCACCACCCACGTTTGGGGCCAGCACTCATCCTTCCATCTCTACTTTTGGTAGGTGTAATGAAACACCATCTGTTACCTTCCATTTTCGATTTTTTTTTCTTTATGTATTTTTTTTTAAATATTGATTTTTTTTCCCAGAGGGTGCCTTGTATGAATCTGCTGTATTTCATGGACGATCAACTGATTCAGATGATGATGATAGTGTTGATGTTGCCGAGCAGCAGCAGCAGCAGCAGCCGCCGCCGGAGAACAATGTGACATCCGGAGAGGAATCTGAAGAAGAGGATGCACCAAGTACTTCTTCTGAGCCCCTCAATTTCGGCGAGGTTCCAGAACAGCAAGAGCGTCCTCTCTACACTGGTGCGCCTATCTCGATCGAAGACAGTGTCCTTTCAATTTTTTCGTTTGTGCAGTCTGAAAACTTAAGTGCTGCGGGTGTTGCAAAATTATTAAAGCTAATTGAGATTCACTGCCCTAAGCCGAATAAATGTGTGCCCACAGTTTATAAATTATTTAAACAGTTTGAGCATGTTAAGACTCAATTACAATCATATTTTTAGTGTAATACATGTCTTAAAGTGAGAGCATCTTTGACTGATGTTTGTGATGAGTGCACGGTTTTAAAACCTTCTGTCGATCAAATATTAGTTTTGTCTTTGCTAGACCAAATTTCTGAGTTGTACGCACGCTCTGATTTCATTGAGGATATCCAGTATAGATTTAATAGAGTCAAGAAAAACCCTGAAAATTTGGAAGATATTTTTGATGGATTTGTGTATAAATCAGCAATGCAGGAATTTTTATCTGAGAAGTTCAATATTTCATTTATGTGGAACACTGACGGTGTTTGCCTTTACGATTCATCGAAACTTCAGCTCTGGCCCTTATACTTAGTTATCAATGAATTGCCACCTGAAAAGAGATACAAACGTGAAAATCTGATTCTTGCAGCCGTTTATATTGGTGAATCTAAACCTACTGTTAATGTGTTTTTAAAACATGTCTATCCACTTGTCGAACAATTGAAACAGGGTGTGAGTGTAAATGTTGCAGGTGAACAAGAGCCTGTTTTAATCAAAGCCTGTATCATTTGTGGAACTTGTGACACTCCTGCAAAATCCATGATGTTCAACATGAAACATTTTAATGGGTTTTTTTCATGTCCAAAGTGCTACAGTTTAGGAGAAAAGTCTGATAGAACTGAACAAGTATTTGTACATCCTTATGAAGAAAATGCACAACCCAGAACTGATGAGAATTTCGAGGAAGATGCAATACTGGCCACTGTTACTAATGCTAATAAGGCAGCATCAGCAAGAACTGCAAGCCATGGTGTGAAGGGGGCCTCATACCTTTATATCATGGTGAATACTATGATTTTATCAACGTCAATTGACACGTTACATTGCATTTACCTGGGCTGTATGCACCAGCTGATGGACCTCTGGTTCCATAAGTCACACAAGGATGAACCCTATTCACTGTATAAGGTTACAAAAGTAGTGAGTACACTACTGACTTCAATCAAGCCCCCACATTTTGTAAAACGACTGCCAAGGTCTCTGGATCATTTTGCAAATTTCAAAGGTTTTGAATTCCTAATGTTATTTTTTTACTATCTTGTGCCTATCTTGCAAGGCACTATGAAACAAGTATTTTATCACAACTTTAAATTACTAGTGGCAGGCGTATCTCTAATCAATAAACAAAGTGTATCTCTTGCAGACATTGCAGAAGCCAAGTGTTTATTAAATCAATTTGTTATAGATTTTGAAGAATTGTATGGACTTAGGAATATGTCATTTAACATTCACTTAGTCCTCCACCTCCCCTCTGTGGTTGAAGCTTTGGGGCCGGCATTTCATACATCATGTTTTGGGTTTGAAGACCTGAATGGAAAACTGCGTTCTTTAATTCATGGCTCCCGCTACGCTGGCTCACAGCTGTCTTCTAATCTCTCTACTTTCTTGAACTTGCCTAAAGTTGTCCACTCTATGGAAAGTAGGCCAGTGAAAGAATATTGTACCAACGTCCACAAAAAATGGAAGAGGTCTAAAATAATAGAAATTATTTGTGAAAAGGGGTATTCTGTTGGGTGTTACTCAAAAGTTGAAACTGTTGATCCATGGATGCATGACATTTTAAAGGAAAAAAATTATGACAGTGTATTTTTATTTCATCGTGTTAAGCTAAGAGGAATATTAATTACATCAGAAAAGTATGCCAAAAGTCAGTCTAGCTGCTCACATTATGTGCAGTATACTTGTGATGGGAATTCTAAGTATGGCAGTGTTCACAGTTTTGTGAAGGTCAAAGTGTGTTCATGTAGTGAAAAGTGCCATCACTCCAGCCAGTTTTATGCCTTTATGAACTATTATAGTAATGAAAGCTGTTTCACAACTGCAAACCCCTGCCACTCCATACAGCACATTCAGAAGTGTTTAAAGACTGAAACCATTGAACTTGTTCCTATTTGTCAGATAACAAATGTTTGCATATGTGTTAATGTTAGTGCATCTGTGTATTTATGTACTCCCCTGAATGAAGTCGAGATGTATAACTAGAGATAAATTTGTTGCTATACTTGCCTGTCAATAAAAATATGGCATGTCAATTATACCTATTTTACTTCCTCAACGTCACATGCACAAGTATCGTAACTGCAACTCAAGGCTCTTTAACTGGGTGTGCAAGAGCGAAAAGAGGGGG